GGCACGCCCCGGGGAGCCGCACGGTGTAGACAGAGGTTTCACCATGTTAGCCAGGATGGTCTTGATCTCCTGACCTCATGATCCACCTGCCTTGGCCTCCCAAAGTGCTGGGATTACAGGCGTGAGCCACCGCGCCCAGCCACTTTTTTTCTTTTGAGACGGAGTCTCGCTCTGTTGTCCAGGCTGGCGTGCACTGTCGCCATCTTAGTTCACTGCAACCTCTGCCGAAAAAAAGATTGTGTAGAGATGAGGTCTTGCCAGGTTGCCCAGACTGGCGTCAGCTCCTGGTCTCAAGGACGTCCCCCGTCTCAGTCTCCCAAAGTGCGAGCATCACAGGCATGAGCCACCATGCCTGGCCTTGGCTACTTGAATATCCTTTTTTGTGAAGTGTCCATTTAAGTAATTTGCCCATTTTTCTTTCAGACTGTCTGCCTGCCTTATTGGTTTCTAGGGATTCTTTATAAGTTCTTTAATGAGTCCTTTTTTGATACGTGTATTTTGAGTATTCCATCCTTCTTGTGGTTGCCTTTTCAGTCCCTTCATGGTGTCTGTGGATGAACACGTTTTATTATTTATTTTTTGGGGAGATAGTATCTCGCTATTACCCAGGCTAGAGTGCAGGGGCATGCATGATCACGGCTCCCTGCAGCCTTGAACTCCTGGGCTCAAGCGATCTTCCCACCTCAGCCTCCTGAGTAGCTGGGACTACAGGCATATTCAGCTAATTAAACGAATTTTGAAAGATTAATTTGTAATTTAAAAAAAAACAAAAAAACATGTAACTTTACCATTGCGACCACCTGTTAAGTGCAAAGTTCAGTAGTGTTAACTATAGTCACTGCTGTGCCACAGAACATTTTTATCTTGCAAATCTCAAACTCCGCCCATCGGACTACATCACATGTAGACTATATGACTTGATGCGACAGGTTGACGCCAGCCTGGACAACAGAAAGCGAGACTCCGTCTTCAAAAGAGAAAAATAAAAGTGGCTTGCGCTGATTTAGAAAGAGTGGCTCCAGGCTGTAATCCAGCACTTTGGGGAGGCCAGGCAGGTGTGGTAGATTTCATCGCGCGTTCCAGGAATTCAAGACCAGCCTGTTTGCACACTATGTGGAAACCGCGTCTCTACTAAAAGACACAAAATTAAAAGCTCGGCCGGCGTATGGTGACAGGCGCTTGGTAGTCCCAGCTACTCGGAGGCTGAGGCAGGGGTATGGGAGGAATGC